TCCTTAGAGCACCAGAGAGTCCAGCCCGATATATGTGAGGCTAACTTGTTTAAAAATCAGGTTCAAAGCGTGAAAACCATTTTCAAACCTGGGGCTAAATCTCTCCCATCGGATCCCACTTAAATGGCTGTCCGACAGGCTGGATTTCACAGGCATGACTTACGTGTATGTATTATTTAATATTATGGTACCAAGCAGAGGTGCTATTCAGGCTATAGCCTATAAAAACATGTTGGTTGACATAGTCCCTGCTATGAAGAGCAGAAACATTGGCTTTGATGGACACTTCTACCCTTGGAATACTGATTAATGCTGTACTTGATTTTGATTTACTTAGACTGCAAGCTCTTTGGGGCTGGAACATTTCTTCGGTACATGTTTGTAAGCTGCCTAGCACAACAGTGTCCTGGCCTCTAAGTGCTACTACAATACAGTATCCTGTTTGCAGCGTACTTCTGTGCCAAGGCAAACTGATCTCCAAGCGGAGGTATCCATCCTTCTTTCAGATCCTGTCAGCAGATGTCATGCATACTAGTGTGAGTGAAAAAATAATTCTAACCCCTTGAAATGTCGCCGCCTCCTCGGATCCCATCTGGAACCTCTGGGCAGCTGGATGCACAAATGTATAATCTACATCTCTATCTGCTGAAGTAAGTGTCCCAATGCAAGCATGAGCACTCAAGTACATGGTTTGAATTTGGGACACTGGAGAATTTTTAGTTCCATAAAATAAATAAAATAAATGCTAGTATCTTGAGATAAGCCTAATCCTACGCCTTTTCATTAGGCTAATTAGTTGTTTGCACGGGGTTTTGAAAAGGGAAAGGGCTGCATCATGGCTTGGTATTGTCAGACCAGAATCAGCAAAGCACAGGCATCTCCTAACTTAGAAATAGGAGAGGTTTTTTTTTTTTTTGATATTGCATATATCTGGCATAAACCAAATGGTGAGTTATACTGTTTTTGAGCACGAATGAAGACATTGTTCATGTTGTGATGTGTGGGAGATGCCATGTAACAGCAGAAAATCAAGGGCAGATTCTTAGCTAGCATCAATTGTCATAGCTTAATTGAAGTAAATGGACTTCTTTTAGTCCTAACTTCATCTGGAACTCGGCTGAAGATCTAGTTCAGGTGAGAGGTGACCTTGTATGATGCATAACTTTTAAAAAAAGAAAACATTGGGATAATCCACCCTGGAACGATCTTTTGTTTTCAATTCTCTATTGTTACCTTGTTCATCCGGCAAAAACAGACATTTGTTTCCAATAGGTACAAAACCATGACTATGTTAGCCCCACTTAGGATCATACGCTGCATAGACCCAGATTAAAAAAACAAAAGCTTTTGTATTTGACTGCTAGTACAGTGTGTCTTGAACCGGCAACATACATTTAAGCGTAGCCCAAAATCCAGGGCTAGAAGCCAGTTATTGACTGAACACTGAGCCCAGCCCTGATTAGTGTGGATTTGTTACTCCTCCAGCTGCCACATCCGCACAGTAAAACCCACACTGCAGGTGGAGAAGAATTTGAATTGAATTCCACTGTTCTACATGTGCAGCCACTGACAATGGGAACTGAACTTTTAGAACATTGGGATCAAAACAGAGGGTCAAATTCTGCTTTCGTTTACACTTGTGCAACTGCACTGACTTTAATAAGATTTCCCTGGTGTCCGCGAGAGTGGGATTCACTCTGCAGATTGCATTTAAAACTTCGATGCTAGATCTGACTGCATTGCTCCTCCGTGCTGGATTGTACAGTTCACGCTACATTACCCCGCAGGGAGCACCCAAAACTGCAGGAACTGCGTGCACACTGCTGCACCACTTTATGGATGCAGATAACTTCCCACCCCGCACGGTGGTCCACAAATAGGGAGGGCGGAGTCATGGTCCCTCTTCCTCTCCGTCTCAAGAAATGAAGGGAGGAAGCAGCCCTGCGCTTCTCTCAGTGCAGGAACTGGGAGTCTGCCAGGCCCTATGTGAGCTGAGCAAGTGAGTGGAAGACTTTTTACACACCCCCACTGCTCGCTGGCATGGCGAGGCAGAATCTGTCCCTCGGAGTTTTAATTAGTCCAGCTGTAGATTTGTCTTGTATTAGTTACGTGTCTCCTTCTGTGGAAGGGAAGCTGCGTCAAACCATAGGAAAAATCCTCCCCAAATCTAAGAAGATTAGAATAAAGACAGGAGAACAGAACAATTGTCTCTATAGGTGTGGGCCGGCAAATACAGGTTTGAGGAGGCAAAGACTGCAATTCGTAACCACTGTTTTAGCTTGCTATAAGAAGCAATAAAGAAACCAAAGACCCTATTGAAATCATGTCAGGGCTGCTGTTCTGTAGCCATCTGTTTACACAGCTGGTACGAATCGTTACAGATGGCCATGGGGACTCTAGGACATTATAAAATGACAAATCAAAGATGTTATGGCACAAATTGTCTTGCAGATAATCAGATACACAGGCAACCTTTACTAGTTTGCCTAACAGCTTTGCTGGCATTAGCTGAAGACAGCTGTTTATTAACTCTTTATGGAGAGCCCCTCTTTCCCCCTTTCTGATGCAAGAGCATTGAAATAGATCATAAAACTCACAGGTTTTTTTTTCTAAATTTATTCTGCCAATCTACCAATTAATTTTATGAAAGTATGAATCATATGTTGTTACATAACACAGTCACGTTACACTCTATAGAATACAAATAACCAAGACAAGGTTACTTTTAGATACAATCTTGGCTAACAAGTAGAGTTTACAGTACAAAAAGTAAAACTGAGGTTAGGAAGAAAAGATAAAACAGCCGAGTGATTGTCAGAGACATTAGTTGAAGCCAAGAAAAAGCGTGCATCTTTTACAAGGAGTTAAAACCCCCCCCATGTCGGATGTTTGAGTAATCTTTCCAAAATAAATTTTAGTTAGATGTATCAAAAAAATTCAAGCAGTAACAGATCTCACTAACATGGGAGCAATAGGTCAACCTGTTTGGAAACCACTATGTTAGGGTTCATTACTTGGAAATTATGGGTTCTATACAACATCAGTTATCATCATCCTGGCTCCCAGTGTCATAGGAATCTGTTCAATACACTCGCTGATGTCATAGCAGGGTTCCAACCCTGCTCTGAGTAAGTTCAGTGGAAACAAGATTGGGCCCTACACTTCATAAATGTGACTTATGTACTGAAAATCCTACAAAACAGCCTCTCTCCCAGAAGTGAAATGACTTATTACTATGGGAAACTGGCCATTTGATTTTGGAATTTAAAAAAAACACAATAACTATCCAGCACATCATTTCTGTATTTTCTGGCCTAATGGAACAAGTCCTTTCTCTCTGCTACTCAGACTCCAGATGAAACAGATCGATAGGCAAACACAGACTTGGTTTAGTAAGAACGCAGTGTTATCTACATAAACTATACAAATTAAAGAACAGATTCAGTTAAATCGGGAGCTGTTCTCTTACACTGATCTCACATAGCTCCAGTGTCATTTTGTTGCACGCAAGCTGCCATATTTGACGAGACATCTGTCAATCATTATTGCACGTCTGCTGGTTTGGACGTATTTAAAAGGAGCCTTGTTTTTATGGTTCCATCTCCAAATTGCATTTATAACATGGGGACAAAACCATCAAGGATGCTGCCACCATATGTAGTGTGACAGTTTGACAGAGGGGCACATCAGCTTCTCTGAAAGCCAGGCACGGGGACGTGGAAACCCTATGGCCTGGGGACCGTACAAGGTCAGACTACACGACCATCCCTTCTGGCCTGAACATCTTTGAGCTATGACATTCAAACTCAATCAAAGGAAATTCTTTTCCCCAGAATGCGCAGTTAGCCTGCAGAAGCACTGCCACCAGGAATCACTGAGGCCAGCGGTTTAGCAGGATGCAAAAAAGGATTGGCCATTTATCTGAATAACAAGAATATCCAGAATTATAACCATGACTATTAAAGAATAAATAAAGAGCTGAGGAAGGAATTTAAACCCTTAAGATGAAGAGGAGCATTAACAACCTCTAGCTATATGAGGGGGGAGGAAGAATCTATCACTAAGGGCAAGTTATTCCAGATCTATTCCTCTGAAGCAGCCACCTGTCAGATGGATTACTGGGCTGATCCAGTCAGCAAGTGCTGTGTTCCCGATAAACACAGACCTCTCAGTCAAGACAAGCTCTGCTAGACCTGCATTGCTTGTGTTTGGTTTCAGAAGCTTCTAGGCAAAGAACTTAAAAATGCTTCACCCTCTAGTTCCCTAATACTGACACATAAATATGATTTAGTCTTGCCTTTTATTACAAGGGTGCATTACTGCAGATGACCCTGCTTTGTAGAATGGCACTCCTGTATCTGTTTGTCATCCACCTCCACTCCTGTAAACGTAACCTTAAAACCTCTGAAGAATCCTGACTGTTCCTTCCGGAAACCACTAGTTCAAGTCACCTTTCAAAAATAGGAAGCAAAGAAAGAGATGTGGGAAGCTAAGCGGTGCGCCTGTTGCCAAGTTGTTAAAATTATATGGCAATATGCTTCCAGTAGTTGTAAGAAATTAATTTGCGGAGTGCTTACAAGCCTCACCTATATCTAAATCTCAACGGGAAATAAAATGCAATTTAAGTGATACACTGGTAAATGTTAAATAAAACCAAACCAAAAAAAGGGAAAAGATCAGCACCAAAAAGCGAAACCAGGGGTCAGATTCTCTTCTACATTCCTGTTCCCAGGGATTGGATCTCCTCCTCTGAGGACACTCCTGGCACAGGAGAGTCTCTAACTAGCACAGGGCAATGTATGGTCAGCTCTGGTGCTACATCTCCTTGCAGCTCTTACCACGGGGCTTGCTAGAAATGGAAGGGGGCATGGCCAGAGGGTTACTGCAGATAGCAGAATCAGGGAGCCATAACTATCCACAGCTAAGAATCTGGCCCTAAGTTCCCCCCACTTTTCTTGTTAATGTTCTTGTTTAGAAACAACTGCCTGAGACATTTTTTATTTAGGACAACCAACTACCAGCTCGTCATCCCTTGCTCATGGCAATGTCAAATACACCACAATCCTTTGGATTTTCTGCAGTGAGTAAAGTCAATAAGGTTCAGGGACAGATAATACCAGCAGTGCTGTCTTCCTGTCCTGCCATATAAAAGAGAAACAGGGTAAGGCATCTAGCAATACTGGTCATTTAACCATGGTGCTGATTATGGCAAAAATCAAGATTTAATTTTCCATATACTACAACAGCATTTTGGTAAGTTTCTGCAGAATCATCAAAACCTGAGAGCCCTGGTTATTCCATAAACTGCTTTGAAACAATGACAATTTAATCCAGATGCACAGTCTGGCACTATTCCTTATTCTAAGTACAGTACATTGTGATGGCAACACAGAAGCAAAATACACGAAGCAGATTTGCCGAAGCCCATAGTTTTGATGGGCTGCACACATCAAGAGGCAATTCCAAAAGAGCACACCTCTCAAATCGTCATGACAAGAATGCAGGCAGATCTGAATCTGAAAGAATTCAGATTTCTTTGTGCAGATGAAGAAACAGTTCACCAAGGAAAGGATTCTTTGGCAGGAGTTTAGCTCAGTTTAGCCACCTCTGATACAGTAACTGAGGCGACCAAGAAATTGAGTGTGACTCATCCCCTTTGTGAAATGCTTCCAATGGAGTACGTTTGCTTTGCAAAATTGCTGCGAAGGAGTATTCCAAATGGCCTCATCTAAGCAGGCTTTAAATCTATAGATCAGCACTGAGAAACAGATGAGGAAATGCACAGATTTAGGGAATAGCTTTGGCACCTCAGATGCTGGAAAAAAATTCATTATTTCTTGTGCACATTTGACTCTGGTTCCTTTTCTCTTGACGCCCTACAGAAATCAGATGCACCTTTAATAATCCCATCTTGCTGGATTCAGCAGACCTCTTCTTCGGAAGGTAAAGAATTGCAGCTCTCATGGGAAACAGTGTCAATGCTTTGTATTTCTGACTGAAGGTGGACCGATACCTGGACTGCTATTTCTTGACCCTGCTCATTCATGGAGCCATCATCCGAGTCCCCTGCTGGTGAATTACTGCGCTTGAGCTCTGGGTTGATGGGGTAGATTGCATCTTGGGTAGTAAGGGCCTGGGTCTGTTTGGTTTCCTCGCCAACTTCATCAGGATCTTCAACTCGCACTGCTTCGAAGATCTCCTCCATGAATGCCCTACAGTTCAGGATCAGAGGTGGGAGAGGGATGCTTCTGGCAAGCTCTTCAATGTATCGAGCAAATTCCATGGTCTTAAACTGGGTGACTTTGGCCAGCTCTAAGGTTTTGGCAGATGTGATGATAGGAATGCGCTTGGCGATCTCAAAGGCTTTCTGAAGCTTCTCAGCCCCTTCTGTCCTGAAGAACTCATTGATGGCCTTCTCTGTCTTGCGGAGGTGGCTGCTCATCATACACAGACGGGTGATATTTAAAATGAGGATGATTGTGAAGGCAACCAGACACACAATCATGTAGTAGATGCTCATGTCCCCCGATGTGAAGATAACCCTCAGGGTGACTGTGTAGTAGGCGGTGCCATTACGAGTAATGGCTGCACAGGTGTACCGCCCGCGGTCACCAAAAGTTACACTGGTAATGTTAAGGATTCCGTCAATGATCAACCATCTTCCACCTAAAGACCCAAAAGAAACAAGTACAGTAATGAGACAAAGAGAATTAAGAAAATGTAACAAATTATGCTTACTCCTTTATCGAGATACAGGCCTTGGCACTAAGTACTGCATCTCTTACATAATACAAAGATTCCTCAATGATCATACCTAATGTGGTGGAGATTTCGTTCTGTAGCTTGTTTAGCCAGAATTTACAACTCAGGTGCTACAAGTACTTTTCTACCATACGATTTTGCTCGAATCCCACTCTTTATTCTATTTCGTATTGTTCCGTACTGTGCAGCTGTGCCTTTAGACTGACAGCTCTTTGCAGCATGGATTCCAGTATTTGTGTAGCACATTTTGCCCACTGTACAGTGCTGCGTTCATTTACTGCTCCATATAATTATAACGTCCAATTTTCCACGTGGGTTGACTAAGGCAAAAGTTAAGTGAGCCATGGAAAAAGTCACATCGTCAGTAGGGGTACGTTTATACACTGCACACTAAGCCCAGGTCTGTGGGACCCGGGCTCGTGGATTCGGTGTTTCCAAGCCCATGCCTGAGCATCCAGCCTAGGTTAACAACTGCTGGCCTGTCTCTCACAGCCGTACTAACGCCTCCATACTGCACTGTGCAGACCTTCTGACTTGGGTCTGTGACTTGACCTGCATCCACACTGCAAAATGACAAGCCTTGGATCCAAGTCCCAGCGGGGCTTGCACTTGGGCTCTGAGGCCCCCCACCCACAGCAAGGTCCTAGCACCTGGGTCTTGAGTGCTGCTGACCAGAGTCAGACTGACTTGCGTGTGGACAGGAGAGGGGCTTGGGCTCAAACCCAAGTCAGAGCCTGTGTTTAGTGTGCAGTGTAGACACACCCTAAGTAGCTCAGCTGGTGTTAAAACCCATCCCCGGGGATCCAGTCTTTTGCTTTAACCACTACACAACTGTGCTTTTTCTACTGACTGACAAAACTCTTGGTAAAAACTAAAATAATAATAATGCTGGTTTCACCGGCTATTTCCTACATATTTACTAAACTGGGGAGGCCACATTTGTTTTCATAACTCATTCTCTTCATTTACTTTGCTTTCAATTACATTTCCAGATGGCACCTAAAGATTATTTTAGCTGCACATAAGCTGGATAATACTCCAAATTAATATGCACGGCCTTAAGAGGATACTGTCAAGTAGCTCAGGTTCACGATTTGACCTAACTTAAAACTCGTTATCTAATGAAGAATGTTTTCCAGAGTCTATAAACAGTCTTACTTTTTTCTTTTTTTAAATTAAACACTTAATGGCTAAGACAGTGCATCTCCCTCTGTAGCAATGGTTAACCAGCAAAACCGTTCCCTGAGCAGTTAAACGTCCTGTTGATTTCCAGAGAGTTGCTGGCACATAAACCAGGAAGTAAATGTAATCAAATAGTCTCTCTCCTTTAGAAAGGCCAAGAAAACATGAGAATAGTTTGCCAGCTAGAAAAGGTCACAATTTGAGGGAAATTATTTTTTAATGTATGCACCTAAGATGTTATGGTAATCCTAGCCTCTGTCTGTCAGAGGGTGGAGATGGATGGCAGGAGAGAGATCACTTGATCATTACCTGTTAGGTTCACTCCCTCTGGGGCACCTGGCATTGGCCACTGTCGGTAGACAGGATACTGGGCTAGATGGACCTTTGGTCTGACCCAGTACGGCCGTTCTTATGTTCTTATAAAGAGCAGGACAAAATAAAAAATCAGCTATGGAGCTGATACGATGGATCTTTAATTCTGTACCTTTGAAGCAAGACAGTTCAGCTGTACAAGATTAAGCATCACCGCAGAAAGGGTGGGCCAGTGGTAGGGCACAAGCATGGGACTTGGTTCAATTCCCTGCTACGCCACAGGTTTCCCATGTGACCTTGGGCAAGTCACTTAGTCTCACTGTGCCTCAGGTCCTCATGTGTAAAATGTGATAAGCCTCTCACGAGGGTTGTGAAGACAAATATGTTAAAGATGGTGAGGTGTTCAGATACTGTCTAAGAGAGGAGCAGAACTTACCTTCATCTCTTTCATTGAGCAGCTGTGCTTTTGAATTGTACCAAAGGATAAATTCATACTGGCTGATGTTCAGTTTACATTCAATTAAAGCACTGGCCCCCTCCTTTGCTATGATATCATGACGTGCTGCAGAATTTGCCAAGACTCGGAAGACTGGATGAAGTGAAGCAGTCAGAGAAATGGATCTTGACCCAGGTGTAATTGTCCTGTTAGCAGCTACATTTTCCAGTGCAAAAGCAGCAGGCAGACTAGCACTAACAATCAAAGCTAACAGGCAACAACTGAGCTTCATGGAAGATTTGAGAAAATTGTTTTTTCATTTAACTTGGAGTAAGGATGCGTAATATCAAGCTGTCTGCATTAAACCGAGATCAGTGAGGAGGGTCTTGAGTTGTTCATTGACAGAGAGCTTCTTGGAAATATCTGAATCCTAGGGCACTTTCAAGACCATCGATATTAATAGTGGAAACGGGAAATCCAACTGGAAAAAAAAAGGAGAGAGAATTAGGTTTGTTAATAATACCAAGCTTACGTGGTTTTCAAATCTCATTTCCAGTAAACAGATTTCAGACTAAAATAATTTAAATTGTCAGCCGAGAGGTTTGGCATCAGAGATGAGCTCAGGGCATGCCAAAGGGATGAGGGTCAGAAGGTATTAGCATGATCAGTACTCCAGTCACTTCAGATGTACACTTGTCCTCCCATCCAAAATAAGACATCTCAGGGAGGCTAGGCATTAGGGGCAAAAAGAATGTAAGAAAAGGGCCAAAGTGGTTAAGAGATTGGAAATGCGTAGCTCCCATTGGGATCAAAATGTGGATTGTGTGTATGGCAGACAAAGAAAAACAGTTTTCACAACAGGGGAAGATGAAGGATGAAAATGTAATTTTTAAAAAAAAAGTGATTTCAAGTCCTGATTTTCCAAAGGGTATCACTCAGCCTCTTGTTCTGTACCTACAGATAACTGTGGATGCATTTTATAGCCCCGAGACAACAAATTACTTGATTTGCAGGTACAATCAGTAGTTAGATGCCTAAGTACTATAAAATGCACCCACAATTTTTTGTGCCTGGAAAACTGTATCTGCAATTATTTATGGACACAAAATGGAAAGTCATTTCTGAAATCTGGCCCTTAATATCTAAATGTTCTTCCTCATGACAACTTTTCTTGCTGCCACATTATCAGACTCCACATTTTTACCGTAATCTGATGCTGAAAATATTGCACTAATGGCTACAACTATTTAGCACTTCCAGTATGTTTTTCATCTTCAAAGTGCTTTAAAAGCTACGAGTGCCAAATTCTGCTCTGCATCTCCTAGTGATGTCAGGGGATATTTTGACTAAGGACAGGACCCACAATTTTTAAAATGAAGGTGTGCACAAGATAACGGATAAAAGACCAATACCAATGTTTCTGGTATATATCAATTTTTTTTCCACCGACAACCAAGAAGCAAAACATTTCAATAAATACACTGAACTCCAAGAATGAGTTGGCGTGAGGAAGGTTTACATTTGTATATAATTTTCATGAAACCTGACCAGAGAATATTTCTGATCTAGTAAATGTTCCTTGGACCCATCATTCCTTCCAGACTGTCCCACGGCAATGAAAACCAATTTATGATGGGAAAAACACAAACTAAAATACCCTGGTATCTTAATGAATATCTGACTTCAATCTTTATCCTCTGTTCTTCTACCAATACCAAATGCCAGTAGGGTTGTATTTCATAACTAGGACAGCACAAAGGATTAAGTGATTCATCGATATGCTTATAAATGAGGCAGCAGGCACTTGATATGTTTTCTCATCATTTTGACATTACTAGTTAACACTGCTTATAGTACTTTAACATACCACAGAGGAATAGGATCACTGCACAAAGGATTACTCTACAAATGAAGGCACCTATTTTTTGCTCTTTAGCTCCTTTATAGGCTAGATGAATCAATCACAACCAAGAATTAGGAAATTCATTTACCATATACTATGCAGGCTCAGAATTTGTTATTAAAGGTTATTTGTCCAAGGACGATCCGGATTTCTAATTTGACAAGATAACTTTGTCCCATTATTGGTTGCTGTTGTCAAAAATCAGTTAATTAGAAAAAACAGTATTGTTGTTTGACTCTCCTTCAAGGTTCAACTGACTGGCATGTCTAAACCTGAGGTGGAATTAGAGTAGGCCCTAACTGTTGTTTCTGTGTAAACCCACTGAATGGCACCGAGCCTGTCTCTCCTCCCCATTTTTTTTTTCTGCATGTCTCATTTCTTGTTTCTTCCTTTAGGATGAGGCCAGCAGCTGTGGAAGGAACTCGATTAGTGCCACGCTACTGAGCAGAACCCATTTCCCACAGGCAAGCTGACAAGGACTGGAGCTTCCTAGTTAGCTGCATTCCACCAGTGGCATCCCTGGGAAAGCACTTATGCAAAGAACCTGGTGCTGATCCAGTTCTGCTGGAGCTAAAGCAGGCTGTCCAGGGAGATATTCCAGGGGCATTACTCAGCCCCGAAGGCACATTGTCGCACATATCACATCTCTGAAGCTATTTAATACCTTGGATCCCTTTTTCATCTCCCTTTTCATTTCCCCAATCATTTTTCCTTGCTCTCCTTTGTCTCCTCTCCCCTTTGTGCTTTCTCTCCCCCCCCCATTACCCATGGCAAATGTGGGTAGACAGATGTGCCAGGTGCCCTCTCTGTTCCTTCAAATCCTCCTTGATTTTTCCTCTTTGCTCCTAATCAATAACTCCACAAACTTCATTTCCCTTACCATGGTCCTGAGTTTATCTGGTGTTATTTTGCTGGTAAGCTATGTGGGATAAGGCACATGTCCTATTTATTTATGTCTCTGAAGCACCAAGTAACTTTACCACCCTCTCACTTTTATAATGAAATCAATAAATAGTATTGTCAGCACTAGTTAAAAATCTTGTTTCTCTCTGGTGTATATGTCATCTGAGAAAACACATTCGGGGCTGAAAGTTGGCATGTAAACCTCTAGTTTAGTAGTAAATTAATGCTTTTAAATTTCAGAGGTTACATAACTGTAAAAATATATAAACCAAAAATGTTAGATGTTGATGAGTTGAAGATTTTTTGTGTGTGTGCTTATATAACTGCAAAATTACTTTGATTTAAAAAAAAATATTTTGGCAAGTACCTATTCCATAATATGAACTAATCACTATTGGCAAAAAGAACAGGAGTACTTGTGGCACCTTAGAGATTAACAAATTGCTTTGCGAATAAGCTTCGGATGCGAGAAGTGGGCTGTAGCCCACGAAAGGTTATGCTG